CATAGTATTCCCTGATAATTGCTTGTATTTCTGAGGGATTGCTTTTAATAATTCCATTTTCTTTTGTGATGTTATCTATTTGGATCATCTCCCTTTACTTTTTGAGAAGCCTGGCTAGAGGTTTATCAATCTTGTTTATTTTTTCAAATAACCAACACCTGGTTTCATTGATCTGCTCTACAGTTTTTTAAATTCTATATTGTTTGTTTCTGCCCTGATCTTTATTATTTCTCTTCTTCTGCTGGGTTTAGGCTGCCTTTGCTGTTCTTCTATTTCCTTTAGGTGTGCTGTTAGATTTTGTATTTGGGAATTTTCTTGTTTCTTGAGATAGGCCTGGATTGCAATGTATTTTCCTCTCAAGACTGCCTTAGCTGCGTCCCAAAGCATTTGGATTGTTGTATTTTCATTTTTGTTTGTTTCCATATATTTTTTAATTTCTTCTCTAATTGCCTGGTTGACCCACTCATTCTTTAGTAGGTGTTCTTTAACCTCCATGCTTTTGGAGGTTTTCCAGACTTTCCTGTGGTTGATTTCAAGCTTCATAGCATTGTGGTCTGAAAGTATGCATGGTATGATCTCAATTCTTGTATACTTATGAAGGGCTGTTTTGTGACCCAGTATGTGATCTATCTTGAAGAATGTTCCACATGCACTCGAGAAGAAAGTATATTCTGTTACTTTGGGATGCAGAGTTCTAAATATATCTGTCAAGTCCATCTGATCCAATGTATCATTCAGGGCCCTTGTTTCTTTATTGACCGTGTGTCTAGATGATCTATCCATTGTTGTAAGTGGGGTATTAAAGTCCCCTGCAGGGGCGCCTGGGTGGCGCAGTCGGTTAAGCGTCCGACTTCAGCCAGGTCACGATCTCGCGGTCCGGGAGTTCGAGCCCCGCGTCGGGCTCTGGGCTGATGGCTCAGAGCCTGGAGCCTGTTTCCGATTCTGTGTCTCCCTCTCTCTCTGCCCCTCCCCTGTTCATGCTCTGTCTCTCTCTGTCCCAAAAATAAATAAACGTTCAAAAAAAATAAAAAATAAATAAATAAATAAAGTCCCCTGCAATTACCACATTCTTATCAATAAGGTTGCTTATGTTTATGAGTAATTGTTTTATATATTTGGGGCTCCCGTATTCAGCGCATAGACATTTGTAGTTAAGTGAATCTTATATGTTCTGTCCTAATCTTTATTATATTCTTTTCTGTTGCTTTGATTCCTGATTTTCTTCCTATCTGGGCTCTTAGGATACCAGTCTCTCCACTTTCAATTGTTCAAGTTAAGTACAGAATCTTTATCAACTATATTTCTAAACTTGACTATTATATTAATCAAGTATATTATTATACTTGATTTTCTTCAATACTAAATTTCTAGATAAATTACCTGTTGTACCCAAGAGAAATTTCCCTTTTAAGATTGAGGTCCGTACGTCTCTGTCCCTGTCATGGTTTATATAATGAATACTGTAATAAGATGTAAGTAGAGAAGAGAGAGGAGGAACATATCTGCTATATTTTCTATAAGTAATAAAATAACTGTATCTACACTATAAAAGGCTCTCCAATCTTTATAAATATCCTTGATCTCACAAATCACTAGTGTGGTACTTTAAAGATGCCCTCAAATTCTTTGCTGCTCCTCTCATTGTAAGGTGGATCCAAATATCCCTTTCCTCAACTTCTGAATTATAAGAAACTGTATAGCTACTGTCAGGACTACTATGGCTCTGGAAGAAACCAGCCACCAGGTAAGAAGCCCATCTACTCTGACACTGCCATGGTATGAGGAAGCTCAAGCTTGTCATATTGAGAAGCTGCTTGAAAAAAGGATACCCAGCCAGCCCCAGCTATTCCAACTATGCCAGCCCAGGTTCAGACACATGAGAGAAGACATCTTGGGCATTCCAAGAAGATATAATGTGGAGAACAGAGAAACCCAGTCAACAGATTCAAGTTCCCAGACATTTGGCCTCAATAAGTCTGCCCAGTGACCACCAGTCATTCAAGTCACACCAGCTGAGGGTCCACTCATCTTGCTGGGCCATCTCTGCTGGGCTTTACACAAATACCCAACCCAAAGGTTTATGAGCCCTAATTAAATAGTTGTTTTATACCACTAAATTTTGAGGTTATCTGTTTTGCAGCAAGAGATAAGCAGAACACCTAGTAAACACCCTCCTTAGGACTAATTATTTAGTCATTTCACTATGTTTAGTGAGAAGTTTATGTTGGTACACATGGTATTTGCTAATGTTCCCTATAGAAGGAAAATCTTGATTAGGAGGAAATGTGTTATAATTTAGTAGTGATCTGTACTCCCAAACATAGTGCTATTTTAATGTGCTAATAAAAGGCAAAATGGATATATTTTCTTTTCACAGGTACCTGAGATGCTATTACTGGGCCGTTCGAACTTTAATTACTATTGGGGGCCTTCCAGAACCACAAACATCATTTGAAATTGTTTTTCAACTGGTGAATTTTTTTTCTGGAGTTTTTGTGTTCTCCAGCTTAATTGGTCAGGTAAATGGAGATATGAATCGCTAAATACATAATACTGCTATTTTTGAAAGGCTAATAAGTCTTTATAAATTTACAGAAGAAAAAAATCAGTCTTTCATCTATTTTAATGAATTGGAGGAGGATGTGAATGAGCCAACATTGCCTTTGAATTTTTAAACCATTAAATCTATCAGAAGACCTGTCCACAATGTCAGGTTAGACTCCCAGAGAAAGTCAAGTTTCTAAATTGACTTATTAACTTGGAATTTCCTGAAAAACCTTTAAAATCTCCCTTCTTTAATTAAACTTCAAACATTTTCATAAAATCCCTGGATTAAAATCAACTTCAGAAGTCATTTAAACCATAGGCTCCCAAATGCCATTTAAATAAATTTAATTAATAAGTCATTGGTTCATAAATGTTTACTATGGCATCTCTTTGTCCTTATTCTCAAGGAATCACAGTCTAGTAAGAAAGCTAAACAAACACAAATAACTACTGCAAGGTAGTTGGCATTTGCAAGGCATAGAACCCAGTATCTTTGTGCATTCCCAGATTCATAAGAAAAAAAAGCTGGACAACATAGCTTTTTAGAAGTTATACTTCCTTGGAAGGTACTTCATATGCCATATGTTTGAGAACAAAAAAGCCCCATGTTGAGATTTGTATGCTGGGTAGAGTTAGACAAATTCACAAAATGACTATTTGACTATTCCCACTAGATAAACTATTCTTTCTCATTCACCACACTCACAGTGGTATGAATAAATTTCATGCTTTAACAATATTTTGCAATAAAAGCTATTTTAATAACATTTGAAGCTGACCACAAGTAGTCAAAACTCAAATCGTACATCAGTGAATATCAGGACCTGCTATCCATGGTAAGTACCAGAGGAAAGTTTGAAAGCTGTATTATATTAGTTAAGAAAAGGGAAGTTTTCCAGGAGTTTTCCTGGAGAAGAATGTATTTGCAACATCTTAATAAAACAGATAGGATTCAGTCATTATAGACAGATAGTCCAGTCCATCAGAAATAGTGTGTGAAAGATAGCAACAATATAAAACAAGTATGTTTGAGGAAATAGAAGGAGTACCAGCATGACTGGAGTGAAGGATGCTTGTAAATAAGGTTAGAGATGTACATAAAGACAAAATATTTTAGGGCTCTGAGTGTTAAAGATGTTGAACTTTATCTTAAAAGGCAGTGGGAAGTCAGCCAAGGGGGAATTTTGAACAAAGGAGAAATTCAGGAAGATTATCAAAATATAATATGAATTGGAGGAGGTGATACTGTCTTTAAAAGTAGATTTTATTGGGCAGCTGGGTGGCTTAGTCAGTTAAGTGTTGGACTCTTAATTTCAGCTCAGGTCATGATATCATGCGTTCTTGAGATCATGCCCCGTGTCAGACTCTGCACTGAAAGCACAAAGTCTACTTGGCATTCTGTCTCTCCCTTTCTCTCTGCCCTTCCCCTACTTGCATGCACTTGCTCGCTCTCTCAAAATAAATAAGTAAACACTTTAAAAAGTAATAGAAAATAAAAAGGAGGTTTTATTATTATTTAGGTATGGTGAAGCCAACAAATCAAGAGACAATTGGCATTGATAAGATAGTTTGTTAGACAAACAGACTCAAAAAGAAGGGTCACAATATGCCAAGGGAGACACATGGGAAGCACCACGGAAGGAGCAGGTGAAGCAGGGTAACAGATTTAAGATTGGCTAGTTTGGATAATTTTAGCAGGTTCTGGGATTTAGGAACTGTCTCTGTCTGGTACTTGGCTCTGGAGTGTCGGTGGATCAGGTGGATAGTAGCCTGGAATATGAGAGCCCAATAAAGAAGGCTGTTGGGAGTATGGCCTCTACATTGATTACTTTGCCTATAAAAGCCCACTCACAGTGGAGTTGTTTGCGATCTCTCGGAATCAGCTAACTCTGGACAGGGTAGTACCAGATATCAAAGCATCAAAATACAGAAAATAAAAAAACATGGTTAATACCATGATATATAGGGATATATAGGGATATGGCAACTCCAGCCTGAATATGGTAACATCATGGGGAGAGAGACTGTAAAGGAAACTCTAGAAAATATTCAGGTTTGGGAAGAATACACAAACAGTTAAAAATTGTAAGTATAGGGGCACCTGGGTGGCTCAGTCAGTTAAGCGTCCAAATCCTGATCTCAGCACAGGTCTTGATCTCAGAGTCATGAGTTCAAACCCTACATTGGGCTCCACACTTGGCATGAAGCCTGCTTAAAAAAAAACTGTAAGTATAAAATATCATAATCTTAGTGGCTTAGTCACTGCATCAATGACTGAAAATGGAAAGCTGGTTAATGCAATTAATTTGAACTTAAATAGCAAAAATAAAATTATTTCATAATTTCTCCTAAAATTTTCTGTGAGGTAGCCACATCCCCTTCATTGCTATCTCACTTTTATAGATGAGGCAACTCCAGTGTAAAGAGATTAAGAGGCATACCTAATTCATACATGTAATTCACACAGTGAAATGATACAGCCATGAAATGTTGATAGTAATAGTAAAATCTAACACGTATTTAGCACTTACTGTGTCCAAGTCAATGTCTACAAGATTAAAAAATTATATCTAGTTTGAGTTCAGTTCTTTTGCTATATAGTATGTGGTCTTCGGACTAGCAGCAGAAGCATCACTTGGGAAATTCAGATTTCAGACCTTACCCTAGAACTAAGGAATCAGAATCTACAGTTTAACAATATTTTCAGGTGATTTATATGCACATGAAAGTTTGAGAAGTGTTGCTTTACACACCACACCACACCACATCTGCCTTTACACTGAATTCAAGGTTCCAACAGGAACAGGAAGAAATATCAAGCCACTGAAAATGTAATACTAGAGCCTGTCACCCCCTCCTGTCACAAAAAAAATAAGATTGAGACAGGAGGTACAGATTTGTGGTTAAACTTTCACAGTGACTAAAAAATGCTGAGGAAAACAGTTAAAAACAAAAGAGAGACTGGGACAAAATCCCCATTTATTCAAAATTCCCATATATAACCACACCAAGAACTACACCCTGGATGTGATCATCACATTTTAACTACAATACTCTAGTCTCTGATACAATTAATAAAGACTGGCATTTTCTTCACCTAATGTGGAACACATCATGAAATACATGTATTCTTCACCTCACTACCAAAACCATCATTGCTGAAGGATAGCACATAAAACCATTCAGATTCCTGTCACTATAAATTCTGGGCCTTCAACATTGATCAATAATGCTTTTAATTATCCTCGGCTCCCAATTTAAACTTTATTAAATTTCCCAACCCAACCCCTAACGTCCCAATTCTCACGGCCTTAGGTGAGTTGGTAATGTTCTCCATCTGTCAAGAATGGCTTGTAAAAAGGAGATCTAGTAACTGAGGTTGCAGAAGAACATTTGGAATAGCTCCCAAGGAGGAAGTCAGAGACTGAAATAGATGTATCTAGTTTGACTATCTGCATAGCTCCTCAGCAGATACTTTTGATAAGAAGAACTTATTGACTCTAAAAATGGAAACTGAGGAAGGCACCACAATAAGAGCCATTTGAGGTAGACTTCAAAGAATGAGTAGTTATTCCATAAGCAGAAAAGGCTCAGCTACTAGAATGAATGAGCAAAGTCTTGAGAATATAAAAGCAAGACTCTGGTTTTCCTCTGTATTATAAACCTACAGTCAAAGCAAATTTACAACCACTTGCTTCCCTCTATGTGAGAGGAAGAGTCAAGCTATATATCTTTTTTGTGCTGAGACCTTAAAGATCAGCTTTTAACCTAGAGTGGGTTTTTATGGCTGAGTTATAAACATCCAAGAACTAAAACTTGACAGTTCCTTAAGTATTGTCACAGCAGTAGATGATGCTTCAGTAATTTCAGCACATTTCAACTTCTACTGAATACTGTGCCTTAAGCATGATGAGATTTGATTTTATCTGTCTAAACAACACAAAGGGAAGTACAGAGGTTGCAATTTCATGATGAATTGAGTCTGTATAGCCAGCCACACTGGATAGTCTTGAAAGATTCTTTCAAAGTGAGACTCACCAAAATGGACTAAACATTTTGCCAGGTAATTGCTCAACTTCCCTTGAATAAGCATAAGCTGTATAATTTTTAAAATATCAACTAACATCTTTTCAGTAATATACAAGTTTGCAAAGAAGATTGTGTGCAGATGCATGCATTATGTGACTGAATCCTCCCCAAAACTTCACATGGTGAGACGGGTCCTATTGTTGTATGTATGGGGTCAAAAGGAGGATATGATTTACCCATTGTTTTATGTGAATGATTGAAATTAAGACCCAATATCAGTGTGTTAAAAATCTAGTAGTTAGTGCATTAGAATGGAATGTACCTCATACACACTCTTAATTCACCTGGGTTTGTAAAAAACTCTTTCAGTTCCTCTGCCAGGTGTGGAGTGACCATATTTGTGGTTTCAGATGCAAGATGTAATTGGAGCAGCTACAGCCAATCAGAGCAACTTCCGAAACAGCATGGATCATACCATTTCCTACATGAATACTTATTCCATTCCTAAGAGTGTGCAGAAGCGGGTTCGGACTTGGTATGAATATACATGGGATTCTCAAAGAATGCTAGGTAAGTAAGGCAGATTACTGATTAAATCCCTGTATAGCATGTCATATAATGGAAGTTCTGTAAGTTAGAAGCAGACACTAATTGGACTTGAACAAAAGACTGGAAAACAACTAAATGTTCTTCAAAGTATTAATTTAATACAATGAGATTTTTTTTTTCCTTAAATGCCCAGACATTACTTACTGGTTATGCAAATCCTGGAAGATCATCCACAGCTATTCCTGAGGACATGACAAGTGAGGAAGGGCAGCAAAAGGAGCAGTAACAGGTTCCTTCTTTCTCTCCAACTATAAATACTACTCCATCACCTTGGTTTACGAGGGAACTAAGGACAAATAACCCTTGGAAACAAGGAGTTATGTTTTTATAGAAAGGATTTTCAGATTTAGAATGAATATTGGAATCAAAATAAGGATATAATGTATCAATTCTTTTTTTCTAAATGGATGTAAGAAAACATAAAAATAATCAACTCTCAGAAATTTGTCCTATACTAGAGACTAAGAATGGGCAGATTTATTTATGGAACATTTTATCAGCCTGAAGGCCTATCATTTCATTCACATACAGACAAATCTTTAATGTATTCACATTCTTCATTGAGTTAATAAGCAATAAATAACAATAATTTGAATTTACTCAGCAATTTCTCTTTTAGATTCCATTCCAAGCTGGGCCACCTACCAATTATTCACAATTGAACAAGTCACTTACAGCCTGTCTGAGCTTCAGTTTTTCTGTTTCTTCTTTCTGCAAAGCAGGAATGAGAACACTTACCTTAGGGTTGTCACAAAGGTCACCTAAGATAGTGACAGAGCTCAGTAAGCTTTCAAATGCCACATGGTGGTACTCATTATTACTTGTCATCCCCAGGATGTTAGGGCTGAAATGTGTAGATCAAAAGACAAGAACTGGATCCTTTTTCCATCCAGGTAGTTCACTAGCCATTGTCCCATGATCACTAAACTTTATATCTAAAGTTTCAATAAACACAATGTTCTGAAACTATTCAGAACTGTTATGTCATTTGTAGTTAAAATACTATACTTCTTTTCTCTCATTAAAGTGATAGTGCTATTGTGATATGTATGTATGTCCAATAGAAGTAATAAAAATATAGAATTTGATGCAGCTGTTTATAAAAAGAGTTGGCATTTTGTTTCCTTAATTTAAAAAATTTTTCTTATACTTTGGTGACTTTTTTTAATTATTCTGCTTGTGGGTTTATGTTTTTGTCTTTGCAAAGATGAGTCAGATCTGATCAGTACACTGCCTGTCACCATGCAGTTAGCCCTCACCGTGGATATGAACCTCAGCATCATCAGCAAAGTTGACTTGTTCAAGGCAAGTGCTTTTATAATTAAGAGAAAAACACCATATCAATTTCTCTGTAAAGTCTAAGCTCTTACTGTATACAGATTTATTATTTTTATTGCCTTATGTTTTAGCAAAATCAGCAATCTGGAGAATTTACGTGAAGTTAGAGTCAAATAAACTGGGTCTGTCTTTGACAGATGACTTCTTTATTTTTTTTATTTTATTTTTTATTTTTTAAAATTTATATCCAAATTAGCATACAGTGCAACAATGATTTCAGGAGTAGATTCCTTAGTGCCCCTTACCCAT